GAGCCCATCCTAATCAAACTCCTGCTAACCCAGCTCCATCTGCACCAGAAACACCACAGCCTATGCAACTTGGCCTAATATGCCCATCTTTAACTCCTGAGGAATGCTGTCGACAGTGTAACCTCTGTACTGTGGAGAAGCTGGTCACTATGTGCACACCTGCCCAGCTAAGTGTCTTTCCATTTCTTTGGCTAACCATTCACCTTTGTCTGCCAGTTCAGCTCACATCGCTCTTCCTATATTCTTTCAGGTACCAGGAAGAACTGTGTCAGTGAGCGCAGTTATTGACTCAGGAGCTTGCAGCTGCTTAATCGATCTCACTTTCGGGACTCAGCAAAATATTCCACTGCAGCCCAAGGAGCAGAGACTCGCTATGTTCTTGGCTGATGGGTCTCGTATAAAATCAGGACTGGTGACTAAGGAGACCCCACTAATACTGACTTTCACGGCCACCAGTTATAAAGAACTTACGTTTTTAAATACAATTTCCTCAGTCCTGTTTCCTGTCATTCTGGGCCTACCCTGGTACAGGCCCAGAACTCACAGATCAACTGGAACTCCGGCAGCATCAAGTTCCAGTCATCATACTGTCAGCAACATTTCCAGCCACCTGCTACTCTGCTATGTGTGGACATTGATGCTAACCTTTGTCAGGCTGTACCTAAGGCCTATCATGATTACGTGGATGTTTTCAGAAAACAAGGGGCAGATACTCTACCACCACACCGGTCTTATGACTATCCCATTGAGCTTCTCCCTGGGGCTGAAATTCCATTTGGGCGCATCTTTCACCTGTCTGAATGAAAATTGGGAGCCTTAAAGAAATATATAGATGAGCATCTTCAAACAGGGTTCATCCTCCCCTATACTTCGCCAGCAGGTGCAGCAATATTTTTTGTAGAGAAGAAGGACCATTCCCTTTTTCCGTGTGTGGACTATCGGAACTTGAACTTTCCAAAGACTTAAGCCTGCTACTATCTTTACCAAGCTGGACATGAAAGGGGCCTACAACCTGGTCCGCATCCAGGAGGGTCAGTGGAAAACTGCATTTCATACTCGTTTCAGCCACTTTGAGTATTTGGTCGTGCCATTCGACCTACGCAACGCACCAACCTCATTCCAGCACTTCATTAACAACATTTTTAGAGACTTCTTGGATATATTTCTCATTCTCAGACGATATCCTTATATTTAACCATTTCTCTTTAAGTTCCCCGGGGACATGTTAAGAATGTACTATGCCAGCTCCGCCAACAAGGACTCTACGCCAAACCTGAAAATTGTAAGTTTGAGCAGTGGAGTATTCAGTTCCTGGGCCTTATAATCTCTACGGAAGGAATTGAGATGGACCTGCGGAAAGTCGCTGCCTTCCTGGACTGGCCAGCACCCATGGATAAAAAGGGAATCCAACAGTTTGTGGGGTTCACCAACTTTTACCTTAAAATTGTCAAGAACTTCTCAGCCGTCATCACACCTGTTACCCAACTTGCCAAGCAAGGTTTTCGGTCCCTCTGGACTTCTGAAGCACAGTCTGCCTTTGAAACTCTGAAAAAGCCGTTTACCTCTGCCCATCTTGAGTCATCCAGACCCTGTTCTGCCTATATTCTGGAGGTGAACACACCTGAAAGTGCAGCAGGGGCAGTCTTGTCTCAACATCAGTGCCTGAAGGACTTTGTGCTTCTTTGCACGAAAACCTAGAAACTAACTATGATGTGGGAGATCAGAAGCTTCTCACAATTAAGGTAGCCTTAGAGGAATGATGGTATCTATCGGAAGGAGCTGCTCACCTTATACTAATTTATGCGGGCCACAGAAACCTTCAGTATCTGAGGAGCTGCAAAACACCTGAAGCCACACCAAGCCCGATGGGTGCTCTTCTTCTCAAGGTTCACCTTTCACATCAGCTATAGGCCCAGGTCAAAGAACATCAAACCTGATGCAGTCATGCATGTTTGAAGAACCTACAGACACGCCAGCACCGGACACCATTTTGCCAGCAGGGAATTTCCTGTTTTTTTACAAAGTGATCTTTTATCACAGTTAAAGCAGGCATCTGTGGGTACCCCCAATCCTGTTGGGGTCAGACAAAAGACAGACTTTTGTGGAAGGGAGATCAAATCTTTGTCCCAGAAAACATTTGAGTAACAATCTTGGGGTTCTTTCATGACCACCCTTTGGCAGGCCACTTTGGCATTTGCAAGACAATGAAATTAGTACAGCGTACAATCTGTTGGCCTAATCTGGAGAAAGATTGTAAAAACGATGTAAACACATGTACCACCTGTAACTGAAAGAATATCTGAAATAAGGCTTGGGGGTTACTTCAATCCTTACCTGTACCTGATAGGCCATGCAAGATGATCTCCATTGATTTCATTGTGGAACTGTCGGCATCTGAGGGTTGCACAGCCATTTTTGTGGTGGTTGACTATCGAAAATGGCCCACTTCCTACCTCTAAAAGGCACACCATCTGCCATGGAAACTGCCCAGGTTTTTATCAAAGAAATCGTCAGGCTCCATGAGGTTTCTGCAGACATTGTATCCAATCAAGGGGTCCAATTCATGTCAAGATTTTGGAAACCATGTGGAACTTTAAAGTTTGGATTATCTTTTTCCTCAGCTTGTCACCCTCAGTCCAATCGGCAAACTGGATTTTACTTTCTTTGTCCAGGACGATTGGGTATCACTCCTGCCATTAGCGGAATTTGCTTATAACAACTCAAGCCATTCAGCCACCAAGCAATCTCCCTTCTTTGCAAGTTATGGCTTTTATCCTACCTTCCTCCCTGACCTTGTTCCAGAATCTTGGGTTCCTGCTGTCCAAAGTACTTGGGATTTCTTCACCCGCAACAATAAAGTGTTACAGGAAGCTCTGACTAAAGTGAAGGAGGATAATAAAAAGGCATTTGATAAAAGAAGGGGTGAGCTAATCTTGCAGCCATTGGACTGGGTATGGTGAGCCAAAACAAACCTGAAGTTGGCTTGTCTGTCAAAGAAGCTGGCACCTAAGTTTGTGGGTCCATTTCCGGTAAGAAGGAAAACTAATGATGTTTCGTATGAACTGTTATTACCAGAATCCTTTTAGGATTCATCCAGTGTTCCTTTCCCTGATCAGAGACCAGGACCTCCTGAACCTGTGATCATTAATGGTGATGAGGAATTCGAGGTCGAGGCCATCTTAAATTGCAGGAGAAGAAGGGGTCAGATACAGTATCTGATCAAATGGAAAGGGTATGGTCCGGAAGAATATTTCCTGGGAGCCTGTATAGAATTTGCACGCTGTGGACTTGATGTATGCATTTTTCTGCAGCCGCCCACAGAAGAAGTGCCAGTTGGGCACCTGTAGGCTGCCCATAGGGAGGGGGCATTGTCAGGAAAGACTTGCTCATAGTACAGACAAAGTTTCCCGGCAGACCGGCAACTGGCTGGGCAGATGCGCACAAGAATGAGCATAGGCGCGCACACTTGTGCATATCGGTGCGCGCCTGTTACCAAGACTGACGCCAAACAGCTTATTTAAACAGGACTACTGCTTTGGCTAATTGCTGTTTGGTCTTCAGCTTCTTTGTGTGTTTAGACTGATTCTAGTGCCTGACCTCTGATTCTGACCCGGCTTGCTCCTGACTCTGCTTGTCTGCTACCTGCCCTGACCTTGGCTAGTTCTTGAATTCTGCCTCTGCTTACTGTTTCTGCCTGATCTGCCTCCACCGTTGATGACAATGGCCTTTGACCTGATTCCTCTCCTGCCTGCTATTTATGCCCGATTTGCCCATCTGTTTCTGACCCAGTTTGCCTGACCCTGCATCCTGTTCATCCAGCCTGCTTCAGCTGCGTAGTCCAGTGCATTCTCATTTGATACGTCTGCCTGCTACCAGTCTGTCCACTTCCAGCCTGCCTGCTCCCAACTGTCTGCTATAAGCCTACTTGCTGTGCCATCTATCTGCTGTTAGCCTGTCTATTACCAGCCTGCCTGCTGTGTCATCCATCTGCTATCAGCCTGCCTGCGACCAGCCTGTCTGCTGTGCCATCTACCTGCGACCAGCCTGCCCTACTGAGACATCTGCCCACCACCGACTGCTCTTTTCCTGGCATCACTGTAGTGAAGTGAGAGCTACTACCTCTGCAGACTACTGGACTGATCACAACACTCATACCTCGCCGTGCTCTTGTGGTTACTGTTCCACTATCTGTGACCCCTGAGCCGGAGTTGTATGAGAGGCCTTCCTCTGCACATCATACCAGGTACGTGACACAGAAAATATTGATTTTGATTTCTTTTCTGTTCATTTACTTTCCTTTTTGTTAATTGATAAAAAATAAACTATTAACACTTCTTTTTCTGAAAGCATTCTTAATTTACAACATTTTTCACACCTGCCTGAGCCTTTTGCACAGTACTCTCTGTATGTTTGTGTGTGTGATCGATAGATATATAATTATATATATATATATATATATATATATATATATATATATATATATATATAGATAGATAGATATTATATATATACACACACACACACAGCCCCATGGCCTGCATTTTATAAATGACAAGGCATCTCCCATTACTATTCTGAGTGAATGATGTCTTTAGTACAGAGCTAAAATGTTTAGTGCGTAACACACCTCAGATATCATGCTGAATTTAGTTCACAGCTGAGTTATTGCATACCCATAAGTAACACCCTTACCTGTAGGAATATTTTATTTGTTGAATCTCATCCCCACATCTGTACAGCTGTAAAGTACTTTTTAGATAGTTCACTTTAAGTGCATTGCCTCCTCCTCAGATTATTTCTGGGTTTTTTTTTTTGGGGGGGGGGGGGGTGTTTGTACATTTTGATACATCTTTCCAGGACTGCCGTTAAGATTGTGGTTATTTTATTGTCGGGAATATTTTAGGTATTTTCCCCCCAATTTGTATTCTTAAATTAATGCTAGAATAAAAACTTTATTGATTATTTTTTTTATGAAAACTTGATTATTTTTCTCCACCTAGGACTGTGGTGCTGCCGATAGCCCGTGAGTTTTCTCCAGATGTTGTCTTGGTGTCTGCGGGGTTTGATGCCGTGGATGGACATCCTTCTCCACTGGGAGGTTATAAAGTATCAGCCAAATGTAAGCGCAAATGCATGGTATAGTTTCTTATTAAAACTGTGTTCAAATGAGTGGATGTTAACAATAACTTTGTTGTCTATAATCGTTCATGTAAGATTGTCACCAAGATATAAGCATATTTAGACATGCAGTTCAATTAAATGCACTGGTTTTTTTGGGCTAAGCAGCACTGTTTGACAGTGTTCTTTCTAACAGAATTGATTGATTCAGCTATTGGAGTTCACTCCCAGAGCTGTGTCAAGGTGCCATTTTGAAATGACAGTGTGGCAGAGAATTGCAGATGTGGTCAATTTTTTTTAATTGGAGCTTGAACTGAGGGTTGTCGATCTAGTGGGAAAACTTGCTGTGATTTACAAGTGTGCTTGAATTAATTGCACATTAAGAAAAAAACTTCTATCTGAGTTTACTTTGCTCCATCATCTTAATCTGCTGCCAGCATCTTTTTCGATTGGACGTAGTGCAGGTAATGCTGCATTGTCTGGCACTAGGGTCTTGCCTTAAGTTTTTCACAGATGCCAAGATTGTACATTGCATTAAATATGCACCACAGGCAGTGTAAATTAAAAATACATGTGTTAGCAAAAAGGCAATGGAGTTATGGGGCAAAACATAATGTCTTTGCTACCAAGAAACTCTACTTACTAGCAATTTTTTGGTGTGCTTCAAGTGGTTAACTGCGTTGTTCTCTAAACTGGGTATTATTCCTGTAAGAGCATATTTTGTTGAATACCTGTTAATTTTAACTATTTGTATATTGTCTTTAATCAATGAAACGTGATGCACAGAAATGCAGCAATAAAAGCTGTCGTTATTCAGGTTTAGGTAGAGAATCTACATCCAAGCAGCTAGCATTTTCTGAGTGGGATCAACATTCGTAGCCAGTGTATTTCTCCTTTGTTAGGCTTTAAAATGCAGATGCATTTCCATGTTCCCTATATGCTTTTCAGAAGTGCTTCCTGACTGACACTGTAATGCTACATTGTTTAAAAGGTTTAGAAACAAATATTCTGACATTGCTTCGACACAAAACACATCTTAATTTTTACCAGAAAATTATAATGACAATTTTAAGAAAAAAATACTGGATAACATGGACTCTTTACAAAAACTGCAGAAAATGTTGCATTCAAATTATAGGTGAACACTCTGTTAGACAAACCCAGCTCCAGAGGGCATAATAGTTATAATCTGCTGTGGTTTCATCATTCAAGCTGGTTCTCCAATTGCAGGGTTGTTGCCAATTGCAAAGTCAGGTTTCATTTTCAAAATAAAACAAGGAATCTGGTTGCATTTTTTTGCCCAGTGCTTAGATTACTCACATGACAACCTTTTGCTCTCTTATTTTATTTTTCTAAGGTTTTGGATATCTGACAAAGCAGCTGATGGGGTTAGCTGGAGGTCGTGTTATTCTGGCACTTGAGGGAGGTCATGATTTAACGGCGATTTGTGATGCTTCTGAATCTTGCGTATCTGCTCTACTGGGTAACGAGGTGAGAGCAAAACAACGTTTTTTTTTTTTTTTTGTTTTGTTTTTTTTCTTTTATCAGTATGTTAACTAATAGGATCTGTCTGTCAAGTATTTTAAAGCCCAACTCCATGCTTTGTTTTTGTTCATCTAAAAACGGTCTTCATGCAAGATACAACAAAATCGGGTCAAGCTGCAATTGTTGTCTGCAGTTTTCCCCAAGTTCTTTTTATTCACCACCAGATGTCCTGAGTCTACCTGATTGAATGATTACCAGTTATCATTCAGCCTGGACGATTGAGGACATAATATCAATGAATGAGGATCATGACACCCCATGTTGGAGGAGAGTGCAGAGGAAGAGACCTCTCACTTGGCTAGAAAAACGTAACATCGTGAGGGTCTCCTTGAGGGCGATGGGAATGGTTGGGGGGCTGAGCCTGGAGTCTAGTATTAAATCATTTATTTTAGTGATTTCTTTAGAAACTTTGTTTAATTGATGCTACAGCAGCAGACTGAACCATTCACAGATTTGGCCATACTGCACATTTATGTGACCAGGGCTGAAAAATTGCAGCAGTTTCTTCCGGAGCTTTTGATATCTGGTCATGTACTTGTCATTAGCAGAAGCTGTTCTTGCTTTATACACTTAGCAGTTATACTTTTGTCTGCAGTAAACAGCTTGCACATTTTAGCTTTGTTAATGAGAAAATGTTTGGAAAATGTTTTTTAAGATATTTTTGAGTGCTAGTTAAAACTAGAATACTGTAAGTTATTTCTGTGCAGGGAGGAACACAGTGTTACAGAAACAAATATAGGGTATGTTGAGTCAAAAACATGCATATATTCAGTACATCTTTACAATACATGCACGCTTTCATGTGTTTTATTCCTTTAATTTCCTGCAGGTACAGAAGCATACCTGTTTATATGCCCACAATACACCTGGCTCCTAATTTAGAGTTGTGGACTGAAAACATGTGCCTTTTCTAGTCTGAAATATTATGAGGTGTGGTTAGCCGCCCTCACTAGTCATTTTTGTTACATTATACCGTCCCGATCCTCATTCTGACAACACAGGAATTAAAGGGATTGTAAAGCTTGAAGTTTTTTTTTTTTTAATTAACAAGCATGTTATACTTGCCTGCTCAGTGCAATAGAATTGTGTCCCTGATCCTCCTCTGATGGGGTCCCCTGCTAGTGCTTCTGGCTCCTCTTCTTGGAATGCCTTCATAGGAAGCCACTTCCTATTGAGGCACACCTGCAGACTCAATCCTGAGCCGTGCTGCATGGGTCCTTAGTTGCAGACATCTTGGCTCGACCTCGCCCCTGCTTCTTTGTCACAGCATTTAACTGACAGCAATGGGAGCCAATGGGCTTCCACTGCCTTTGAAAAGCCTGTGAGAACAGGGAGAGAGGACAGAGCCGCTACAGACGGGCACAGCGCTTGATTGGGCTCAGGTAGTTATAAGGGAAGGAAGGGGGTGAGGGGGGGAATGCATTAAGGTAAAAATGTTTTCTTTAGAACCACTTTAGGGAGAGCTGGGAGAGCTAATTGGGATTCTTAAGATAATGCATGCAGATTTTACAAAACAACAATGTATTTTATGACAGTCTCAGATACATTTGGCATAGATATAAAAAAAACTATTTAATTGCTATATTTAGTAGGCCAAAAGGGAGCAAATAAAAGAAGTTCATTGTTGGGTTTTAGATGCACTTTAAAGCACAGACAATTGCATTTGCTTTGATTTTTTTTTGTGTTAACAGACTTGCTTCTGTGTGCTTCTCTCTTACAGCTTGAGCCAATTTCAGAGTCTGTGTTACAACAGAGACCAAATAGCAATGCAGTGATCTCTTTGGAGAAAGTTATTCAGATACACAGTAGGTATTGAAGTTGAGTCGAGTGCCTAACTCCCAGTAATAAAAATGGTCCCTTCACAATTTGCATGAGCCTGCATTTTGTGCCCACCAAAGAATTACATTCTACAACTTCTCTTGTTGAGCATTACACTGTTGTTTGAGTTGTGCATACCAGCCACTTGTTAATATATCCAGAACAAGCACTTGTTATAAGCACAGTAGATTTGTTATTGTATAGTTAAAAGGGACAATGGCATACCTCACAATCCAATATGGAGGTACAGCCCTGGGCAAAAGTTTTGAGAATGACACATATATTCATTTTCACACAAAGTCTGCTGCCTTAGTTTTGATATGGCAATTAGCAAATACTCCAAAATGTTATGGAGAGTGATCAGATGAATTGCAATTAATTGTAAAATCCCTCTTTGCTGTGAAAAATCAATTTAATCCCCCCCAAAAAATCCATTGCATTTCTGCCCTGCCACTACAGGATCAGCTGACATCATGCCAGTGATTCTCTTGTTAACACACAAGTGTCAGTGTTGACAAGGACAAGGCTGGAGATCACTTTGTCATGCTGATTGAGTTAGAATAACAGACTGGAAGCTTTAAAAGGAGGGGTGGTGCTTGAACTCATTGTTCTTCCTCTGGTAACCATGGTTACCTGCAAGGAAACATGTGCAGTCATTGCTTTGCACAAAAAGGGATTCACAGGCAAGGATGTTACTGATACTAGGATTGAACTTAAATCAACCATTTATCAGATCATCAAGAACTAAAAGGAGAGAGAGTTTCAATTGTTATGAAGAAGGCTTCAGGGCGCCTAAGAAAGTGCAGCAAGCGCCAGGACTGTCTCCTAAAGTTGATACAGCTGCGGGATCATGGCACCACCAGTGGAGAGCTTGCTCAGGAACGGCAGCAGGCAAGGTGTGAGTGCATCTGCTTGTACAGTGAGGCAAAGACTTTTGGAAGATGGCCTGGTGTCAAGAAGGACAGCAAAGAAGCTACGTCTCTCGAGGAAAAACACCAGGGACAGACTGATATTCTGCAAAAAGGACAGGAATTGGACTGCTGAAGATTGGGGCAAAGTTATTTTCTCTGATGAATCCCCTTTCCAATTGTTTGGGGCATCTGGGAAAAACCTTGTCTGGAGAAGAAAAGGTGTGAGCACTACCATCAGTCTTGTCATGCCAACAGTAAAGCATTCTGAGACCATTCATGTGTGAGTTGCGTCTCACCCAAGGAAGTGAGCTCACTGACAATTTTGCCTAAGAAGACAGCCATGAATAAAGAATGGTACAAAAACATCCTCTGAGAGCAACTTCTCCCAACCATCCAAGAAAAGTTTGTTGACAAACAATGCCTGCTCCAGCATGATGGGAAGCACCTTGCCATAAGGCAAAAAATAATTTTGGGTCCATGGCCAGGAAACTGCCCAGACCTTAATCCCATTGAGAATTTGTGGTCAGTTCTCAAGAGGCGGGTGAACAAAAAAAAAAAACCCCACAATCTCTCACAAACTCCAAGCATTGTTTAACCTCCCTGGCGGTATTCCTGAGTATAGCTCGGGGTAAAGTTTCAGTACCAAAAGCGGTAACCCCAAGCTACACTCGGGAATACCATGCAGCCTTGCTCAGGGATTCCCTGCAGCACTTACCTTGTCCTTCGCTCTCGCGATGTGTCCCCTGCACTGTCCCCGGCCATCTCCTCTGGCCAATGCCGGCATTCGTCTTCCGGTCCCTGCGAGCGTCGTGACATACGGGGGCCGGAACCAGTGGGAAATTTTAAAAACTGACATTCGCTAATACACTAAAACCACATAGTAAAACATTACTGTTTCAAAGCACTTCACATACATTTTGTCCCGAGTGCTTTGTCCTGTGCCCTGCCTGCATTTTTACTGTTCTTTCTGCCTGGAAACTTAGAAAAGTCCATGGCGTCCAAAAAGTGTCCCTTTAGGTCAAAAGCGGTTTTAGACCAGCTAGAATACAGCGATAGTAAATCAGAACCACTTTGCAGATTTGAATGATAATGATTCGTGGGGAAATTCGTCATCAGACACTGAAAACGATTCTGCGACTGAGCTCAGCGATGTGCGAAGTTGGCGCTATATTTCAGATTTCAGTGAGTTATTCCTAAAAATTACAGGCCTACAATAAAAAAACGACATGTTTCCATGCAAAAAAATGTACTGCTGTCAGCACAGAAATATGGACATAATCATACCGCTAGGGAGGTTAAGCAAGAATGGGTTACCATCAGTCAGGATGTGACCCAGAAGTTGATTGACATCATGTCAGGGCGAATTGCATAGGTCTTAAAAAGAAGGGCCAACACTACAAATATTGACTCTTTGCATAAACTTAATGTAATTGTCAATAACCGCTTTTGACACTTATAAAATGCTTTTCATTATACTTCATTATACCAGAGTAACATCTGACAAAACGATCTAAAAACACTGAAGCAGCAGACTTTGTGAAAATTAATATTTGTGTCATTCTCCAAAACTTTTGCAAGGCTGTACAATGTAAATGCACAACTCCCCAAGAACTCAGGCTTACCATTCAGCATATTGGTCCTTGAAGTGAAACCCACACAGGACCAAGCAACAGGTTCACTTTAATTTAGAACTCCCCAGCAGCATATACGTAGTTTCCATACACTCCCCTGCTGCTCCGTTCAGCTGCCCAGAGTGAAGGAATGTTTATAACTTATTTTTTCCCTGCTAAAATTAACTTACCTGCTCTGTGCAACAATATTACATAGAGCCATCCCTTACAACTATTTGGCTGTGGGCTCTGCCTTCCTTCAGGTGCTTTTTTAGTCAGCTGTGTGCTATGGGGGCACCTGTGCATGCAAGCTTTTAAGCCACGCCCCCGCTACCTCCTCACAGAAGTTTGGCAGCAGCAGAAGCCTATGTCTCCTACTGTTCTCAGTGTTTCCTGTGAGACCAGGAGGTAAGGGAAGTTAGGCCTGCAGCCGGGGACAGTGCTGGATCGGTGACAGGACTCGGGTAAGTGTTTAAACGATGGGGGAAGCCTGGAACAGGTAGGTAGTTCATGAAATAGATTGTGCAGTCTGACAACTGGGTCACTCCTGAAAAATGTTTCACTCCCCCAAAAATCTTTACTTCCATGCAGTGGAAAAAGAGTTCACAAAGAAGTGGGCTATTCTTGTAGCGGATCCTGCTGTCTCTGTCCTAAACAAACATCGCACTGTTCCAATGGAAGATGCTCCTTCTTTAAAGGATTCTACAGGTAGAAAGTTTGAGACACTCCTAAAAGCTCTCTCAATCTTGCAGGCCCAGCCCTGCAATCATGTCTTGCTGCAATTTCAGCATGTCAAACTGCAGCTAACTGGACTAGGACAATGGAACAACCAACATGACCCTGTATTTCAGGATTGCGTTGTTACTATTATTTTACTACAGGTATATAGCACCATCAATTTACTCAGCTCTTTACATATATTGTACATTCACATCAGTCTCTAGCCCTCATGGAGTGTATAATCTAAGGTCCCTAACTCACATTCATACATACACATACTATGGCCAATTGGGCAAGAGCCAGTTAACCTACCAGCATGTCTTTGGAGTGTGGGAGGAAAAAGGAGTACCCTGAGGAAACCCATGCAGGCACAGGGAGAACATGCAAACTCTGCACAGGTAGTGTCATGGTTGGGATTCGAACCAACGACCCTGGTGCTGGAAGGCGGAAGTGCTAACCACTTAGTCACTGTGCTGCCCAGCTGTTACACAGTAACTACATCAGTTACTTTCTGCTTTACTTTTCTTAGTGGATGCCCTAGAGCATGTCATGAGACAACTTTATAGAATGGCTACAATCTCCCTTTACATGTGCAGAATCTTTATGGCTTTAAGTAGAAGTCTAGGCGAAACTTTTTTTTTTTTCCCCACATTCGCCATCTGTGTTCTATTTTGGAGAGTTCCCTTCACTTCTTTTCCCATAGCCAAACAGGAAGTGAGAAGAAATCTCTGCACATTAAGGGAATCCCTTGGGAACCCCTAGGTTACCAGAACCAGTGTCCCCATTGGAAGGATTTTCTATTACTTTCAATGATAATGGTAAACAGGACAAATAGAGAGGGTGAATCTCCTTAACGGAGGCACGGACTACAGTCGAAATGTGACAGGGATTCTAATCCCTCACCACTCTATCCAAAACTAAAAAAAAAGTTTTCTCTTTAGTTATACTTTAAACCTTGGACAGTTAAAGCTGCCTGCAGAGGGTGCCTCACACTTAGGTCTTTCCAAGAAAGACATCTGTTTGAAGAGGCACTTAACCAATTTATTAAAGAGGTCACAGGTGGGAATGTTTTGCATACACAGCAGAAGGTCCCAAAACCATCACCTTCACAAGCCTTAGCACCTCAAAACTCAGAGCACTGGTTTGCACTAACTAGGCTTCAACCTCAAAACCTAAGTTCTCCCCTTCCTTTCAGGGCAAGGCTTAGCTACACCAAAGCCCTCTTCACAATGGAGCACCCCCCCCCCATGCCTAAGATTGGGGGGGGGGGGGCATTAGGTACATTTTGCACCTCTCTGGGTCACAGATGTCCCAGACCTATGGGTTCAATTGGTGGTTTCAGCAGGGTACAAAATTTAGTTTTGAACTCTGTCATCTCCTGCTTTCTTATTTCAAATCAACCAAGAACTTCCCAACGACGGATTTGCAAAATGCCCTGAACCACCTTTTGTCCCTAGGAGTCATGTGTTGTTTCCTCCACAAAACAAGTTCAAAGGATACTATTCAAGCCTGTTCATTCTACCAAAGCCTACAGAGGCATTCATCCTCTTCTGGATATAAAAGTCCATAAAAAACACTTCAAATTCCAAAATTCTGGAAACACAATTGCCTCTCAGAGTGAAGGGAAATATATGGCATATGTGGACATCCAAGATGCCTATCTACCTACCACATCCGCACTTTCTGCACTGCACATTGGCAGACAACCACTTTTAGTATGTTTACTGCTCCCAATGTGTTTACAAAAGTCTTAGCACCTCTGTTTGCCCTGTTCAGAACTCAGGGCATCCAAGTCACAGACTCTCTAGATCAGCGTTTTTCAACCACTGTGCCGCGGCACACTAGTGTGCCGTGAGATATTGTCTGGTGTGCCGTGGGAAAAATTCCAATTTCATCTGTAACATGTGGCTTCGGCTCACAAATAGACCAATCATTAGAATCTAATGATTCAGTGGTCGGCAAGCCGCGGCTCGCGAGCCACATGCGGCTCTTTACCCAGTCTAATGCGGCTCTTCTGTGTGCCGGGCGCCTGCTCCCCTCCCTCCTCTCGGTCGGCCGCTCCCCTGCCTCCTCTCGGTTGGCAGCCCCAAAAGTCCGCGCGGACCTTTTAATCCGGCTTGCGGATGTGGCTGTCAGGATGTGTGTAGGCGGGGCAGCGTGCCGAACGTGAGGGGAGGGGAGCTAGGCTCCTCTCACAGTCCGCCCTGAAGACCCGAACGGCGCGGGAAGACAGCGAGAGGAACGCAAAAGGTAAGTGAATTGACACGGGGGACTTGGCTTACTAGAAGGGGGGGGGGGGGGGATAGTACTGTGGGGGATGAAATACTATATGAGGGATGAATTACTTTATGAGGGATGAAATACTATATGGGGGGATGAAATACTATATGGGGGATGAATTACTATATCAGGGATGAATTACTATATGAGGGATGAAATACTATATGGGGGGATGAAATACTATATGGGGGGATGAAATACTATATGGGGGGATGAATTACTATATGAGGGATGAAATACTATATGGGGGGATGAAATACTATATGAGGGATGAAATACTATATGGGGGATGAATTACTATATGAGGGATGAATTACTGTATGAGGGATGAAATACTATATGGGGGGATGAAATACTATATGAGGGATGAAATACTATATGAGGGGATGAAATACTATATGGGGGGATGAAATACTATATGGGGGATGAAATACTATATGAGGGATGAAATACTATATGAGGGATGAAATACTATATGAGGGATGAATTACTATATGAGGGATGAAATACTATATGGGGGGATGAAATACTATATGGGGGGATGAAATACTATATGGGGGGATGAAATACTATATGAGGGATGAATTACTATATGAGGGATGAAATACTATATGGGGGGATGAAATACTATATGGGGGGATGAAATACTATATGAGGGATGAATTACTATATGGGGGGATGAAATACTATATGAGGGATGAATTACTATATGAGGGATGAAATACTATATGAGGGATGAAATACTATATGGGGGGATGAAATACTATATGAGGGATGAAATACTATATGGGGGGATGAAATACTATATGAGGGATGAAATACTATATGAGGGATGAATTACTATATGGGGGATGAAATACTATATGAGGGATGAAATACTATATGGGGGATGAAATACTATATGGGGGATGAAATACTATACGGGGGATGAAATACTATACGGGGGATGAAATACTATACGAGGGATGAAATACTATACGGGGGATGAATTGCTATGGGGGATGAATTTACTATATGGGGGATGAATTACTATGGGGGATGAATTACTATATGGAGGATGAATTACTATATGGGGGATGAATTACTATATGGGGGATGAATTACTATGGGGGATGAATTACTATGGGGGATGAATTACACTATGGGGGATGAATTACACTATGGGGGATGAATTACTATATGGGGGATGAATTACTATGGGGGATGAATTACTATATGGGGGATGAATTACTATATGGGGGATTAATTACTATGGGGGATGAATTACTATATGGGGGATTAATTACTATGGGGGATGAATTACTATGGGGGATGAATTACTATATGGGGGATTAATTACTATGGGGGATGAATTACTATGGGGGATGAATTACTATATGGAGGATGAATTACTATGGGGGATGAATTACTATATGGGGGATTAATTACTATGGGGGATGAATTACTATATGGGGGATTAATTACTATGCTTACTATGGGGGAATATTACTATACTTACTATGGATGACACATACACATCATTCATCTACTCTTGGTCCGGCCCCCGGGTCCAATTATAAAATACTTTATTATTTCATAATAAAGTAATTATAAAATAATTTCTTTGTGTTTGATTCCTATTCAAGAGAATTACTTTATATATAGTCAATATAGGCACAGAGGTAAATTTTTTTAACATTTTCTAATGGTGGTGTGCCTCGTGATTTTTTTCATGAAAAAAAAGTGTGCCTTTGCACAAAAAAGGTTGAAAAACACACTGCTCTAGATGACCTTCTTTTGACAGACTCCACTTTCTTGCAGCATCAGAAAATGTCCACAAGACAATTGAAATGCTCCAGGCCTTTGGCTAGGTGGTCAACTTTAACAAATCTGCTCCCCAGCTTTCCCTTCATCTGGAATACTTGGGTCTAGTCCTTGGCACATCCCAGTAAAATGTCTTTCTGTCATAAAAGAAAGCTCCTTCTCTGAGAGCACATGCTCGAGAATTTAAACATTTGAGATATACGCCACAAGAGTTCTAGGCCTAAATTTCCAACAAAGTATCTTGTCAGCTTGGAAAAAGTCTCCTCCTTGATTTTCCAATGCTCCTACCCAGCCAAGCAAGGAACTCCCTATCTACGTGGATCACCACTCCAGCCCTAACTGGGGAAATCCATCCTTCCCTATCACTGGAAAGTTATTACAACTAATTCAACTCTCTCATGTTGGGAAGGAGTGTTCCAATCTCTAACAGTTCAAGGAACATGCTCATTGAGAGAAGTCAAGCTTCCCATCAACATCTTGGAGTTCAGAGCAGTCAAGTTGGCCCTACAGCATTGAAACCTCCTTCAGAAGGGGCACCCAATCAGGGTGCTTTTAGACAGTGCGATGGCGGTTGCTTATGCCATGAAGGGGACACCAGAAGTCTGACTGCCTTGAACAAAGCAAACCAAACCATCTCTTGGACAGAAAGCTGCTGCCCATCGATCTCTGTGGTCCACATCCCTGAAGTGGAAAACTGGAAAGAGGACTATTTTAGTCACCATTGTCTGGATGGGCTCTTCATTCAGATGTCTTCAGTCTTATATGCTGGAAATGGAGGATTCCAGATGTGGACACATTCAGCAACAAACTACCTCTGTTCCCAGAACCAGGGATGATTCTAGGTCTAGCCTCAGATTCTTTGATAACTTTCTGATTTCAGCTCAGGCTAATTTACGCCTTTCTTCCAGTGCAAATCCTACCTCGTCTGCTTAAGAAGACAGAGCAAAAGAAGAGGCTGGTGATTCTAATTATACCACAGAAGAACCTTGTGCACATACTTCCTGAAAATTCTAGCAGATAAACTCTGGGCTCTTACCAACAGGCGAGATCTGCTATCCAAAAGCCCTCTATTCTGACTAGCTTGGCATGACTGTTGAGACCCAGGTGTTAAAGGATAGAGGGATTTATGAGTCTGTGATTCCTACTTGCTAAAATCAAGAAAAGCCTCTTCTATGAAGCTGTATTATCTGTAAACCTTTTTTTTTTTTTTTTGCTGTTTGTGAACACAGGCACTTCAATCCCAGTGATTATGCTGTAATCACATTTTGACCTTCCTACAATCAGTTCCTGATCAGGGGAGGTGTACCAGATTTTCTTTTACTGTATTTGTTGAGTACATGCATTTTATGTAACTTGAGAAACAAGTGTTTTCTATATATTTTTTATTAGTAGTAATGAGGCACTTTTTAGTATCTTGAGAAGTCACATGTTGCTCACAGTCAACTTATTTCAATTGAATACTAAAGGAGGACAAATTGGTGTTTTATTCTAAGTATATTCAAGCAAATGTACTTTTTCCACTAAAAATCATTTCAATCAGTTTAGTATTTTTGATTCCCTAAATTCAGGAGATGTACGATTCCTCACAGGACATATCTGCATGTACTAATTTTAGACCAACTATGAACTAGTTAAATGTATTGCTGTTTACACAGTAAAATTCTTTATGCCTCATTTGCTGTTCTCTCATATTTTGCAGGTGAATACTGGCCATGTTTGCATAATGCTGCTTCTACAATCCCATATTCTCTTGTCGAGGCACAGAAATGTGAGAATGAAGAAGCTGAGACAGTGACAGCGATGGCGTCCCTGTCTGTGGGTGTACATCCAGAGAGAAGGTGAACAATGCTATGTTACATTGGTTTCAGTATCTTTCACTGGTTTGGAGCGGTGAAACATCTAATGAAGGTTAATGAAGAGTACCTAATGTGTGGTGTTTGCTCCAGAGCCACACTCAAAAGATCTACAGTCCTGAAGTTCTTTATCAATCTTTTACAGCAGTTTTAAACCCAAAACCAAGAATGTAATATATTGCAACTTGCCAATCATTAGATTAGTAATGTTTTTATTTCTTTGGGGTTTTTGTTAGGCGTTTTTATTCCTCATGTGATCTGACCAGCAATACACTTCCTGTATTATACAGACACCACTCTGGATGAATAAGTACAAGGGGAAGATTTGGACAGCAGCATTGTCAGTCTGGGGAGATGGGAGTGTTAGAAGTACCGATTGATTTAAATACAGTATACAAATTAAAGCTGAACTCCAGCTAATACTTTATAAACATTTACAGCAAATAGCTGTTTTCTTTTTTGGAAAAAAGGGTTTTACATAAATAAAAACTGATAATTTTTCGTACCCCTGCCAATGTTAAAGTATAAGTTCACCTTTTGTAACATGTTACATCCATATTCAGGGTATAACATGTTACAAAAAAAACCCAGTCCCGCACCCCCCCGATCACTTTTGTGACAGCTAGCAGGAGATCTTCTCCCCATGCTAGCTGTCACAGTTTTATGAAAAAAAAACGTGGTCGTGTGTGATCTGCTGATTGGTGGTGCAATGCTTTCCAGGCTCCCAAAACAAAAGTGCGTTATTTTTTGTTAAAAGGTGAACTTATCCTTTAAATGGTCTGTGTCATCCCTGTAACTGCAAGCAAGCTTTTCTGTTCTAAAAAAAATTACTGACTGGATCAGCAATTGAAAATAGAAGAAATCCTAAAAAAGGAAACTAATAAGCCATCACATTTAAGAATTAGTAAGCTGCAGTATAGTGTTTGCTTTTGGTTTTAGTACTGCTTTAATCTTTTCCCCTTATTGCTCAAGCTTTTCCTGCTTGTCCGAGCTGTGTTTTGGTGTTAAAGGATTTCTCTCCAGCCAGAAATATGGGAGCTGGTACTGCATACTAGTTTTGAAATGGCAAGCTCTGGGTCTGTACTAGGTTTCCTGGCTTCATTATTTAGTGCTTCAATGACTAAGAACAAATATTATTATTATTATTATACAGTATTTATATAGCGCCAAAGGGTATGCTCAGCGCTGTACAGTAGCAAGGGGGACAGAACATGAGACAAGACAGTAACAATACACTACACGAGGGGTTCGAGGGCCTGCTCTTTCGAGCTTACAATCTAGGAGGGAGGGGAAGGTGGTACAGGAGGAGATGGCTGTGGGGGATGGAGTGGTGGGAGGAGTGGAGGAGGTTAGTTGTTAGGTGAGGTTGGGGTAGGCTTCCCTGAAGAGATGGGTTTTCAGGGTGCGCCTGAAGGTGAGGAGGGTAGGTGACAGTCTGATGGATTGGGGTAGGGAGTTCCAGAGGATGGGGGAAGTCCTGGAGAAGTCCTGCAATCGGGCGTGGGAGGAGGAGACCAGGGAGATAGAGAGTAGGAGGTCCTGTGAGGAGCGGAGGGCACGGATAGGGTAGTATTTGGGTATCAGGTCAGTTATGTAGTTCGGGGCGGCATTGTGAATGGCTTTGTAGGTCAGAGTTAGCAGTTTGAATTTGATGCGTTGGGCAATCGGGAGCCAATGAAGGGATTGGCGGAGGGGGGAGGCAGATGTGGAGCGGTTGGTGAGGTGGATGAGTCTAGCCGCTGAGTTTAGGATCGACTGGAGTGGGGATAGCGTTCGTTTGGGTAGGCCAGTGAGAAGGAATTTGCAATAGTCCAGGCGTGAGATGATGAGGGAGTGTACGAGTTGTTTGGTGGTGTCTGGGGTGAGGAATGTGCGTATCTTGGAGATGTTGCAGACGTGGAGCCTGCAAGATCTATATAGCAGTTGGATGTGGGGTAGGAAGGAGAGGTGGGAGTCCAGGGTGACAGCCAGGACTTTGGGGTGTGCGATCGGAGAGATGGTGGCGTTGTTAGTGATGGAGAGGATGGGGGGGGCACAGGGTGGGGGGGAAGACCAGGAGCTCGGTTTTGGATAGGTTAAGTTTGAGGAAATGGAGCGACATCCAGCCTGATATGTCGTTTAGGAGGTGGGCGATTCGGGCAGAGAGTGAGGGGGTGAGGTGGTGGGTGGAGAGGTAAATTTGGGTGTCGTCGGCATAGAGGTGGTAATTGAAGCCGTGGGAGTGAATAAGTTTGCCAAGGGAGGAGGTATAGATGGAGAAGAGGAGGGGCCCGAGGACAGAGCCTTGGGGGACCCCGACAGAGAGTGGGAGGGAGGGGGAGGTGGCAGTGTTGTAGGTGACGCTGAAGGAGCGTTGGGAAAGGTAAGAGGAGAACTAGGAGAGAGCAGCGTCCTTGATGCCAAGGGAGTGCAGTTTGGCAAGGAGGAGAGGGTGGTCAACAGTGTCGAAGGCCACGGAGAGGTCGAGGAGCAGGAGGATAGAATAGTGGCCATTGGCTTTGGCGGTTAGCAGGTCGTTGGTGATTTTAAGTAGGGCGGTTTCGGTGGAGTGCAGGGGACGGAAGCCAGACTGTAGGGGGTTAAGGAGGTTGTTATCAGTGAGGTGGGTGCTTAGGCGATTGTAGACCAGGCGCTCAAGGAGCTTGGAAGTGAAGGGCAACAAGGAGATGGGTCTAAGGTTGTTAAGGTTAGTGGGGTCAAGGGAGGGTTTTTTGAGTATGGGGGTGATGTGTGTGTTCTTTAGAGGGGAGGGAAGGTGCCGGTGGAGAGGGAGAGATTGAAGATGTGGGTGAGGGAGCGAATGATGGAGGGCGGGGGGGTGACTGGAGGAGCTGCATCCTCCAGGTGTCATAACACCTAATATGCTTATGTTTGTCCAGATAATTAACTTACCAAGAGCAAAGGAAGGGTAACGATGAAAAAAAAAATGGAAGTTGCCACATTTCTATCCTGACAAGTTCCTTTTTAATAGTTTAAAAAGTTTTGGGTTGGTAAGAAATGTAATTATAGAGCAAGGGTCATCATGGCTGTGCTGACAACAGGGAGATGTCCTGTCCCAATCTACTACGTTCTTACCTACAGGCATAGTATGTTGTTTTCCTTAAATGGCTTAGTGATTGCTATTCATCTCTTTCAGAACGGAGGATGAGCCTATGGATGAAGAACCCCCTCTGTAGCAGAATGACTGGTCATTGTCTGTTGTGTGACTCCATATCTTTGTTGGAGGTGGAGCCCTCCAATTTCTCTGCCTGTGCTCTGTCCCCAGGAAGACGAGCAGCGACATGGATGTAAAGAACTCTGTGTACATGACATCCACAGATCCTCAGCGCGGCACACTGTGCTCTGCGCGGCCGCACTGTGCCGTTCTTGGTTACAGCAGGCACTGCTCCATCAGGAGCCACTGGCAGCTCTTGCCAAAAATATTACTTTCTTTCATGCTTTTTAAGTGACTAATTCAAAGAAAAACAAGGATCATAAGTGACCTCTTCTGGGGGCCTCATAAACCGTTTTGGTGCTTTAACATTCTGCAGATTTACAAGGATTCTGTGTGCGCTGAAGGGAGGGTGACCGTGCTCTACGGACACTCGTTTAAACCACTCGGTTTTGCCTGTTTTTTGGAAGTTTTTTCGCATATGGAGGAGTTATACAGTGGATGGAAGATATCCTCTGAAGCCTGTTATTACAAGGACAGACATTTCACTCTGAAAGAGAAACAGGAGGAAGGATTGTGCCTTGTCCATGGTTGGAATACATTTTTTCCATTCGAATGGTTTATTCCTTTGTTTCAGAAGAGTGAAGGACTTGCCTTAAAATTGAAACACAACCAACAGAAAAGATGTTTGAAGTCACAGTACAGAAAACCTTGCTGTGAAGTGGAGTGTAGATGACTAGCAGCAGTCGTCTTTAATTTTTTGTTGCCCCAAACCACCCTCCACATTCCCCAACCCCCCATCCCCTCCATTTTTTTATTTTTTTTTCTGGACAGAGTTGCATGTCGCATATGTACGATCAATGATCAATGGACTGTCTCCTCCACTCATGACCTGGGCTCTCCAAGCAAATCTTCAACCACAGTTGAGAATTTGTAGGCAGATTTTTACAAAGGGGAGATAGAGGATTATGGTTATGGCCTCTTACTGTGCAGACAGCATGCCTGGGCCTGCCTGTGCATTTTCTTTTAAGTGGCTCAGTTTAGTTTTGTTTAATAATTTTATTTTTATTATTCTGTGTAAAATTGCACCACATTGCAGGCAAACAGTACATTTCCAGTTCCCATTTCAGTTTTTTATGTGTTATTTTGATTTGAAGTTTATACATGTGTTATATTTTTTGTAATATATTTTTCTCATGATGACTACAATTTTTTATTTTTTTTAAGAGCATTTTTTTAGTTCTTGTCAGGGGATTATTTTAGATTCCAGTTAATATCCTCTGATCTTCCCACCAAGACTTCCTATATGAATCCTTTATATGGGGATGGTGTCAACAGTGATGTCCTTATTGTAACTAAACTATTGAAAGGACAACCATAAAGACTCTTCTGATTATATCTTTGTAACAGGTACCTCTTACCTCACTTGTTACCAGATCAGAGAGAGCCATTACTAGGACTTTAATTTCTTTAAGGAGACCAACAATGTACTGTATGTGAGCCTTGCTCCTGGGATTGCATGGAAAGGAGCAGGGTGCGCTCAGTCTTGGATATAACCTCAATATAGCACTTATTATCCATGCTGAGAGTTGTGGCTGAATTTCCAGCAGCATGTGACTCGCACCCATTGCCTAACAGATTCCTAGGGTAAACCCCCTCACTGTTAAGGGAACAGCATGTTACTGTCTTGTGGCAGTTTTACTTGTTCCTTGGCAGCTTGATATTGGCTGCATTTTGAGTGGTTTTTCTCGGGGCTGTGCTGCAGGCTGCACCTTGACATATGTTGTTTCCTGTACTGGCAACACATGATATGTTTTGGAGTAATAGCCAGGGGGGTTGTGGACCCCCCCACCCCTTTTCCCCTTCCCCTAAGTGTTGGGACCCTCACATTGTGCCCTTACTGTGTATATATTATATTTTTTTCCATGGTCGTTCTGTAACTACACTACAGCCTGTGACTGCACAAAACAGCACCACACTGCACCAAACGGTCTCTTTATTTCCTGTCACACTGTGTGTGTTACTTGCAGTCCCTCCTCCCCATCACACGTTCCCATTTTTCTGCTTTCCGACCTTCAATCTACTTGCAGATTTTTTGCATCTTTTATCATGTCTGTGTACTATTGACGCTGTTCTGAAAATGTTGAATTTTGGGTCTTGACTTGGTCTGTAATTTGGCAAATAATCAGAAGTTGCATGTTTTGTGCTTTCCTAAGGCATGTACACATAGTAGGTGTATGCCCTGGACTTGCTTTGAAAGGTGCATACATGATCATATTTTTATTTTTAAATATCTTCTTTTTTTTTTTTTCTTCTTCTTCTTCTTAGTTGGGATTAAATTATATATAATTCTAGGAAAATTGGATTTTATAGTGTTCTGGATGTTCTCATTGGTGATGTTAAAGTCAAATCTGAAAAAAGTAAATGGTAGTCTACCTTCATTTGTAAGGCAAATTTAAGAGCATGATGTGTTGGTTACCATAGTGTCAAGTACCCTTTTATAGCATGGGAAGTGGCACGTAGCTTGCCATGTAGGCTGAGTCTTTCAGTTTCTTCAGCTAAGCTGCAATTGGATATGCAGGGTGTTTCCTCTGTTGATGATGGAGGTACAGTTTGGGACAAATTTGTTTTGGATATTACAGTTTTCACTATGAATTTTCATTCCTTGTGTGAATTATGATTTTTCTTTATTAAATATATAAGTAGCCTGCACGCTCTACCATCCCACTCATTCCATGTTTTACACGGTATATCATTTTGTGTGTGCAAGGGAGGGGCCACACTCCTATTTCTGGGCATTGACCTCCCTATAAAGAAAATTAAAAAAAAAAAATATATATATATATATATATAAGATAAATTATATATTAAAAAAAAAAATATATGTATATGAATCTATTTTTCTAGATTTTACTATATACTTTGAGGTTGCATGAATCAAGCACAGCTCGTCCTATACTGTGTAATTTGGTCAAGCTGCTGTGCTGGGCAGGAAGAATGTTGGCAGGGGACTGTAGTATGCGGTTCATCCTCCGAGCCTTGTATTGTGAAAGGCACTTGTTTTATTCTTTTATGTGGATCAATCTCAAAGTATTATATTAGGCTGAGAGTGTTTTTTTAAATACCAGAAAATCTAAGCAAAATATATTACCGGTCTCAATGTTTGGAGATCTAAATGCCATGAAATAACAGTTTCGCTTCCTTTTCTCTATACAAAGTTCTTTTCTGTTGACATTAAAGGACAGTGAAGGACCATGATGTGTGTAGTGGAGATGAATAGTCTGTTTAGGGTTGTTGAAAGCATTTTCATGTGTTGGGCAGGTGAAAAACAGTTGTTTCTGAAAAGGAAAGGACATGGATTGTTCATGGCAGGAGGTAAGAGAAGATTATTAGACCCCATACATGCTATTGAGAGTGTTCACATCAGTATAGTGCAGCACTCGCCAAATCCTGATTGCAGGCTGTCTTACCGTCATTGGCAATTTTCACTGAGGTTGGCTTTGAAGTCAGTTGTAGGAACAGGCCTGGAGGAGAATAAACAGCTTTTTTTTAGTGAATATCACCTTCTACTATATATTACTAACTAAAGCTTTGTATACCCCAGGGGCTATGTTTACAGTTTCGGCGGGTTAGTGCTTATTAAAGCTTTAAACTCTTCAGTGAACGTTACTAAGTATTTTATCACATATTTAACAGAACAATTATCTTCATCTTGCACAATGGGTTGTCATTATCCTCTATGGCTGTGGTGGTACAGCTTGTGACAGAGCCATGGTTATGCTGCCTAGTGGAAACACTACCAGTCTCTGGGAAGGCCACAGCAGTGAGAATAGGTTTACTAGTTTACTAGGTTTACTTACTCTAGATGTATACTGATAGTTCTTGATCTGGGGAGGAGGGGTTATGCGATGAGAGTTGTATCTTTAAAATACAATAACCCTTAAAAGCCATAAAAACAATATTAGGGTTTTAGTAGGGATGAGCTTACTCACAAAATGGATTCTCTGAAAAATTACCTTTTATTAGAAAGGTATATAGGCTATTAATGTTAAAGTGGTTTTAAAGCCTTAAGGTATTTTATGCATTCAGGTAAAATCCTTCTGTGCCTGGAATCCCCCCCACCCCCCTCCTTATACTTACCTGAGCCCCATCGCGATCCAGCGCTGTGCATGAGAGCAGCCTGCTCTCCTGGTCCTGTCCCTCCTTATTGGGCAGATTGATATCAGCGAGCGTCATTGGCATTGCTGTTAATCCAACTCTGTGACAAGGAAGCAGGGGGTGGGGCTGAGCCCCACTGTCTGTGTCTATGGATGTAGGCAGTGGGGCTCGGGAGTGCCCCCACACAAGTGCCCCCATTGGAAGTGGCATATGGAGGACACTGGATGAAGAGGAGGCGTCAGGAGCTCTAGCGGGGGACCCAAGAGGAGGAGGATCAGGGCTGCTCTGTGCAAAACCATTGCAGGTAAATATGACATGTTTGTTATTTAAATTTTTTTTTAAATGAAGCTTTACAACCACTTTAAGAAACACTGCTCTAGAGGACATGAGTCCCAAAAGTTCTCTTTTGATAAGGAATCATAAGTGAAATGTAGCAAATACATTTTAATCCCTACCCTTTCCACTGACAACAATGCTTTTCCCCAAATGCCTATTGTATAACGCATGCAACATCTGAGCATTTAGGAAAGTACCATGTGTTGTCTGCCCAGGACTCAAAGGCAACCTGCAAATAAAATGCAATTTAAAACATTTACTGTGTTCTAGTGTGAATGGGGCCTAATTAGAAACCAAGTTAAGTAGTTATGCATTGCCAAGCTTGGGTGTAGATATATTCTTTCATTTAGTAATAGAACACTATGAAATGGGCCTGTAGTAATGCAAGCTGCAGCCCTGTACAAACACTGTGTACCTTATGTCAGCCTTCAGTCAGTCAGGCATGTTCATTTCAGATGTGCTGTCTGCCATATTGCAGTTCTCACACTGTTCCAGCTTACGTCTGCTCTGTGGTATAACATGTTTCCAACA